TACTGACTTGCTGACCTGCTTTCTACCATCAAACCAACCTATTGAAATACTTGTTACTTTATATCTCACAATTAAGATGGAGATTTGATGACTTATTACTTAGCTTTCTATTAGAAGTTCATGAATGTTTGACAGAATTAGAATTAGATTCATCCATTAAGTCCCAGAAAAGCTTATGACTAAATATTCAAATCCCAACGTGTATCTGTATCAGCAAAAGCAGACAGACGTTTAGAAATACATTTGCTTGTGTGGTGGTGTGTTTTAAAAGGTAGCCCAAAGTGGCTTTCCTGAAATATATGCCTGTATTTGAGCTTAGAAAGAAAGCAGGAGGCAGACATGAGTTATTCGGCCCTATGTACTGTGTCTTGCGTAATGAGAAAGTAAATACTACCTAGGCAGAGGCTGCTGCTTTCATTTTTCTGTGCATTAAGGTAATGGCATTTCTAAATCACTAGTTGATTAACACTTTAAAAAGTTTGTCTTAAGTATAGAATTTGCTGTAGAACTTAGAAATCATAGCCCTGTCTTTGAAGTGCTCTCTTGTTCATGTTTTGGAAATATTAATTTCATAAATAGCGAATAAATACATTGAAATAAAAAGAAAAACATTGTAAAAGCTGTTTATTTTTATGAAACAAATTTGATTCTAGTATGTAACAGTTATATTGGGAATGTGCTATGTTCAGTTTGTCTATAAAACTAGAGCAGTTGTTTTTCCAGTTGGAAAGTATAGATTCTAAAACTTTCACAGAAGTTGCAGCAACATGGATGGACCTGGAGATCATCATTCTAAGTGAAGTAAGCCAGAAAGAGAAAGAAAAATACCATATGACATGACTTATATATGGAACCTAAAAAAAAAAAAAGACAAATGAATGTATTTACAAGACAAAAGCAGACTCACAGGTATAGAAAACAAACTTATGGTTACCAGCGGGGAAAGGGAGTGGGAAGGGATAAATTGAAAGTTTGAGATTTGCAGATACTAACTAAAACATATATAAAATAGATAAACAACAAGTTCATATTATATAGTACAGGGAACTCTATTCAGTATCTTGTAGTAACTTATGGTGAAAAAGAATATGAAAATGAATATATGTATGTTCATGTATGACTGGAGCATTATGCTGTACACCAGAAACTGACACAACACTGACTATACTTAAATAAAAAATATATACACAAATAAATAAATAAATAAAACCATGTTATTAAAGTTATTCATATCAAAAAAATAAAACTTTCACGGAATTATTTGAGATTCTATACCTATTTTACTATTTCAATGTTAAGATGTATTTTATCTATTAAAATATATTTTAAAATGACATGTACATTCTAATGTAATGTCCTACCTGCCAGTTGGACATCACCAGAATAAAGTTTCTCTACCATCTCTGTGTATATATTTACATTGCTTATAAATGTATACTTGATTTAAAAGGTGAAGATTGTCTCTTCTAGTCTGGTCTTTTCTTTCCCCCCTAATAGAAAGTGTGTACACTGTTGCAGAACACACTGTGGAACACAGGTCCTGTGCTTAATAAATTCTAGGCAAGGCTCAGGTGTTCAGTTCATAATAGTGAGTAGGTGCCACATTGTTAAGTGGTAATATTGTAATATTGGCTTAATGTGTACTACAAGTTTTTGTGTTTCCTGTCCCACTTTTCTAGTCACATTTACATATTATAAGAATGTACATAGTTTTTAGATATTGAAGGTATTTAACTTTGAAACAAACATTTCTGCTATTCCTTCATGCTCTTGTATCAGTTTATTTAAATAATACCCTGAGATGACAGGCAAACTATGAAACTGTTACTGTTTGTTTCTATTTATATAAACCAGTTTTTAAAAAATGGTTCCCTGCTGTAAAATACAGGACAGAAATAAACAGTTGCTGATATAACTAAAATACTCTCTAATTTCAAATCACAATTACCTGATTGATTATGTCATTTAGCTTTAAAAATAAGTAACTTAAACTTGAATCTATGAAATTGATTTATACTATTAAATACTGATATTATATGTTCTATATGTCGAGTTCCATTTAAGATTTGTTTGGAAAGTGTTCTCCTGTCAAAATTGAAGACCGCTAGATTTCTTTTAGTGCTGCAGTTCTGAGATACCATGTTACAGTAAATCTTCACCATGTTTGAATGGATTTCTGACTTCTTCCATTCTTAAAGGTGATACCATATTCTATATTGCTCTTAGAGTTGGAAGGGACCTTATGTATTAACCAGCCGAACCTTTTACTTAGTCTTACCCTTGTCAGAAGTTATTCTTCCTTTGTTTGAAGGTCTTTGATTGTATAACATACAGACTATCGACTCTTCATTATGTTGGTAATGGAAGAGTTGTTTTTCAAGCTGAAAGTTGCCTCTCTGTAATTTATGCCCATCAGCCAAATTCTGCCTGGCAAAGATCAAGTATACAGACGGTCCCCAAATTACAATGGTTCGACTTAGAATTTTCGACTTTAATGATGGTGTGAAAGCAGTGTACAATCAGGGAAATCATTCTTTGAATTTTGAATTTTTTTCTCCCCTCCCCCCTGTTTTTGTTTTGTTTTGTTTTGAGGAGGAAGGTAATCTAGTTTATTCATTTTTTTAATGGAGATACTGAGGATTGAACACAGGACCTCGTGGATGCTAGGCAGGTTCTCTACCGCTGAGCTGTGATGCCCCCACATGAATTTTGAATTTTGACCTTTTCCTGCATTGGTAATAGGCAGTACATACTCTCTCCTGATGCTGGGCAGTGTCTGCAGCTGCAGCTCCCATTCAGCCATGTGATCATGGGGGTAAACAACTCACACAACCATTCTGGTTTTCACTTTCAGTAAGTAGCCTGAGAGATCCAACACTTCATTGTGAAACAGACTTTGTGTTAGATGATTTTGCCCTCCTGTAGGCTAATGCAAGTGTTCTGAGCACATTTAAGGTAGGCTAGGCCAAGTGATGATGTTTGGTAGGTTGGATATATTAAATGCACTTTTGACTTAGGATATTTTTAACCTGCTGGGCTTATCAGGATGTAACTGCATCGTACGGAGATCTGTACTCCCTCTTGTAAGTGTCAGGCTTGCCCATACTTAAGGCTGTCTTCACCAGCCTAGACACTTCCCTTTCCATCACTGTATGCAGTTTCCTAACTCCTTATTCTAGTATTCCCTCTGAACTGTTAAATTGATGATTTTTGCTTTGAAAATGTGGTGGCCGTGTGTGTGTTGAGAGGTGAAGGGAGTACAGCAGAAACGTGGGAGAAGAATCACTAATTACTATTCCTTAGCTTTCCTTGGCTATTTTTGCTAGGTGTTATGGGTCCATTGGTGAGAGCTAGTTATATAAGCACATGGCTTTTACAACCGTGTTCCCAAGTCACCATCTCTTAAGCATATGTAAACAAAATACAGGAAGACATAGTTTGTACTGAAGCCATTTAATACCTATAACACAGAATTCAGCACTCGCGTAGTACTTGGAATTTTAAGTAGTTTTCAGTATACCTGGTCCACACTTGTATTCACATACATTATCTCATTGTTCCCAAGGCTTCCTACTGTTTTAGTTTTCATCTTCATTTCTTCTTTACAGGAGTGTTGAAATAATCTATTTTGCCCACTCTCTATGCTCCCTCTGCCCCCTCACCCCAGTCTGTCTTCTAACTGTAGCCAGAGTGATCTTTCTAAACAACGAGCTATCTGTGTCACTCTCCTGCTTTAAAACAAACAAAACAAAACAAAAACAAAAAGCTTTCTTTCTGCTTTTAAAGGAAAGTTTAGACTCTTTAGCGTGAGATAAAAGGGTTTTTATGATCTGCCCCCTGTCTGTTTCACTAGTCTTACTTCCTGTCTTGGCCTTATAAGCACTCGGTACTCAAACATCATTTAAAAACTTGTAGATCTCTCCCTGAAATGTATCTTTTGTTCAACTGGACTACTTGATGCTTATCCTTTAAGGTAAGTACTTACCACTTCTGAATAGCCTTCCTTGACTAAAATAAGAGCTCCTCTTCTATGCTCCAGTAGCATTCTGTTAATTCTTCTTATTCCAACCTGTGTTGTCATCTTGTTTAGCTTCTCTCCTCACTAGTTAGATTCTGTTAGACTGTAAGATCTTTAAGAACAGGGACTCTTACTCATCTCGGTTTCTCAAGTGTCTGTGACAAAACAGATGTCAGTAAATGTTGCTTGAACAAATAAATGGAGGAATTAAGATAGCGTTAGATTAAGCTGTACCAGGAACTGTCCCTGTTCATTTGTATGTTTACAGGGCTTGGCTGGCTTGATGTGTGGCCTGCGGCAGGTGCTCAGTGTAGGGTAACCGAATGATACAGCGTTGCCCTGTGTTTCAGTTTATTAAATTCTGTGTCATGGTAGTGTAAATAGAAAAGGGGCTTTCTTTATATACTTGAGAAGAACATTTGAAATTTTTTGTATGTTTGTGGAAGGATAGATTTCCCACTATGATCTTGTTTTCTTTATCTGTAAAATGAAAGGATTGGACAATCCAATCTTTTAAGGTTCTTTGCATTTCCGGCATTCACTGGGATGACCAGCTATGATGCCTGGATCTGGATCACATGAAGTACAATCTAGAATTTTGCCTTTTTTTTTTTTAAGCAGCTCCAGCACACTATTGCATCTCATTAAACTGAAGACAAGGCATAAAATGACCAAACCCTGTGCACGAACAATTGCTGTCTCCCCTCCAGAGGCCACTCTGCCTTTGGTTTTCTTGAACTTCAGCATAAGACTTAAAGGTATTCTAGTTAAATTTTGTCCTGTGAGATTTGGTGTAGATTTTTGAGATGGCTTTGAATCTTGATTCCTCCATTTATGACTTAGCTGTGCATCTTCCATTTGTATTATTTAAGATTGTGTTAAGCATGTAATAGGCACTCAAGTATTTGAGCAGACGGTCATATATCTAATATATCTTTACTCAAATGACTAAAGCATTAGATGTTTTAATCAAGATGTAGTCTTTCTCTTTTTCTTTCCTTAGCTGTTTTTTTCTAGATTGCGCAGTGTGGTAGGAAGACCACTGAACTTGAAGTCAGAAGATCTGGGGTTCTAAAGTCCTGGCTTTTCTGTTTACTACTATGTGATATTAGACAGGTCACTTAACTCCTCTGGACTTCAGATTTCTAATTTGTATGAGAGGTAAAAAGACTAAAGTCTAATTTTCTGTGAATTGTGGCAGTGTCATCATCTGGCCCATACTTGGATGTAGTATGGAATTGTAGTTGAGAGCTTGTTGAGAGTCTGGGGTCAGATTGCCTGCATTTTCATCCTAGCTCTGCCCCTACTGGCAGACTGACATTATTCTCTCTGGGCCTCTGCTTCCTCATCTGTAAAATGGGATTAATAATACTACATGGTTGTTTTGAGTTAGTTCTTAGAATATATTCTGCACATGGTATATAATTTTTGCTATCATTGTACTTTTTTAAAAACAAAAAGTATCATCAAAGACATAGCACTTTCCTCTGGGCTTCTAGGGCAAAATATAAGTGCTTGTCTTTACAATTGGGAATTTAAAAATGTGATAGAAGCCAATGTGGAAGTGTATAAAAGTTAGTGACATATTATGAATCATTGTCTCACACGTTAGAAGGAAAGACTTCGTCTGCTTTACTATCCTCAATAGTGGGTGATTTTGATGTTTTAGAAAATAAATCAAATATATAGCTTCAGTATTCTGTGCTATTGAAAGAATGCCAGTAGCTGTAAATTCTCAGATAACCTCTAGCCGCATGTGGAAGTACTGGCTCGAATCTCTTCTCTCCATTCAAAATTTTATTGATGTGCATGTAGCAGCCAGAATCACTTTTTCCTGCCTCTCACATCTCTGGACATCTAGTGAACTATGAAATGACTAAATGTTAGGCAAAAAAGGAAGGGGAATGGCCCAGATAATCACTATACAGGCTTGTTTCCTCTGGGTAATTAAGAGCTGACTGTCTTTATCAGGGTCCTCTCCGTTCTGTCAGCAGCAGCTTCCCTTTTGAGGCTCAGGACCTCCTGGGATCCTCAAGGGAAGGCCTGTCTCCTGGTGGCTAGACTGACATTGCTCACTGTCTTCTACTTTCTTCAGGCTGTAGTACCTTCAGAGGAATTAAGTTCTGCTTGGATGCCAGGGGAGTGAGAAAAAGGCAGGCTTTGGTTCACCTTCCTCAAACCTTACCCAGTAATGATCTTTTTGATCTTTGGAGATTGGGAAATTATTTAATATTTCTAGAGGTTGCCCTGTGTACTCATTTGAGATAGTCCCTAAATCTTCAGTTGACCATAGTTAAGTGTTTTTATTTCTTAACTTCCCATAACATTCTACCTCCTTACATATACAGCTTCCCACCCCTTTGAGTTATTCTGGTTTAGGTCCCCCCTCAAAGACAGCAGAGTATAGCAGGAGGCCTCGCTTTGGAGCAGGACAGATGGATATGTAATCTTGGTCGAGTTATTTAACCCTTTAAAAGTAATTTAATCTCTGCAATGGAAATGATAACACCTTTCTTAGAGAATTGTTGGGATTAAGTGAAATGATATTCAAAGATTTTAGCACATTGGCTGTGAACTAACAGTTACAGTAGATGCTCAGTCAATTTCAGCTTAGGTCATTGAGTGCCTTCTAAATGTGTTAGAAACTGGGATGTGAAAACAAAAGACAATCCCTGCACTCAGAGAATTTAAATCTGATAGAGGAAAAGGTTACTAAATATGAATCATATTTAGTAATGATTTCTTTTTATTTATTCCCTTTTCTTCTCTCTTCCCTATTTCTTATGCATTTCTTTTCCTAGGACAAGGTAAATTCTAGGAGGATGCTTCCTCCAAGACTGACTTAGAAGATTCTAGTAAGAGGAACAAACTGAGTAGAGTTGTCACAGGTTATCGGGGTGACTGGGAGCTTAGTCAAGGAGGGATAGTCAGCTGTGAGTCCTGTTATTAGTAAGTAGTAACAGGATTATTACCAGTTTGTAGCTGGGAGGATGTCCAGTAGGGGGTAAGGAAGCTGTCAGGAAACTGAGGCAGGTCACAGGGCTTGTTTAAACTAAGAAGCCTGCCAGGTGAGCTTGTGTTTACTTTTTTCCCACTTGCAGTCTTTTGGGCTAATCTCTGGAAACTTACGTTCCTGGGTGCTGCCCCTCCCTCCCTGTCTTCAGGAACAGGATTGGAAGTAGCATTAGCCTGAAGAAGTTGTTCTATTTAGGGAGCTAGGGCAGAGAACCAGTGATTGGGCCCTTATCTGCAGTGGGGCCTTTCTGAGAGGTGTGGGGCCAGGATCGGAGTGTCTGTCCTGACATCCGCAGAGGCTCAGCTTTTCTATCCCCTGGTTGGGTCAGAATTGTGAAGGAGCCCTGATGGGCCGGGCCATCTGAATGAAAAAGCCCTTCATTGTGTTTCTTCAGCATTCCAGTGTCTGGTACAATTAGCCAAGACTCAGAAAACAAGTTGGACAAACAAGCAAGCAGCCTTCCACCGAAGGGTAAAGGGATTCCTGGCACAGCTGAGTTAAGTGCGGTGACTGCTGAGACTGAGTAGGCGGGTCTGGAAGAGGAAGGCGACTTTGGGGTGACATTCCTGGCTGGATGAGGGGAAAGAATAGAGCAACAAGCAAACGGTATTTTTGAAGCTGATGAAACCTGCTGTGCCGTATCTACCTAGAGGCTGGCCGGGGCTGGGCTACTCTGTACAGTAGGTGGAATCACTGGGGAGAGACTGTGACTCTGGGCAGCTGTAAGATTGGAGGCATGAAGCTTGCTTTCAAACCTAGGAATCTGTTGGCATTAGACACTGTATGGGCTTGCTCCATGACAGCCTTCCCATTGTGGGGCCTTCTCATCTTAGCTGGTTAACACTTTATACTTACTTCTGCCTCGAAGAGGCAGGCCCAGGGAGCAGGTGGTTGGGCAATGGGTGCACTGTTCCTGACTTGGCAGTAAGCCCTTTTACCTCACCAGCTGTTCTGCAACTGGGAGATTCACCGGGTCACAAGCTTCTGCTCTGCAAATGGAGGGTAACTCAAAGACCAGCTTCTACCTGCCCAATCTTACTCACTTAATAACTCAGCTGAACTTTTGCACATGAAGCGCCCACCCTGCATGCTGCTGTTGGTCTGAAAACACTGAGCTGGTGCTGCTTTTGAATAGGATGCTATTCGTGTGAAGACCTGGACCCAGTTTGGAAGTGCCCCAGGGAGGAGCTTCCTCTCTGACCTCAGGGGGAGGGAGGAGGTCAGTAGGAAGTGGTGGGTGGAGCCACTTCTCCGTACTTCTGCTGTCTCTCTGTTCGTTACTTGGCCTTTTGGCTGTGTCTCTGTTCACCTCGCAGCCTTTTTTTAGGAGCTGCAGAGGGTGCACAGACCCCTAGCTGAAGGTTCTCTGGGACACCCTCCTTTTAGGTGGGGTCAGCAGACGCTGGGCGACATGTGGCCCAATTACCAAGATGAGCACGAGTTCAACACCCACCTGGTTTGCCGCATGTGCTGTATGGGTTAGTATGTGAAGTTGTTTTTTTTTTTCCCTTTCCGGGGCCTGAGGATCTCAAATAAATAGCCATTGCTCTCTCTGACTCAGGAGCTCGTGGGCTCTGAAGCATTGGAGGTATTACAGCCTTTGGGCTTGTTAAAATGTGCAGTGGGAGAGAGGGCGGGGTGCCCAACTTCCTGGGGGGACTTAAGCCTGTAGTGACTGGCAGTTAAGAGCCTAAGCATTGGTGTGGGACTTTTTTATAGAGACTGAATTCATACTCATGCTTCTGCCTGTATCAGGAAACCACTTTTAAATTATGATGCATAGTTCTGAAAGTCCAGCGCGTATTTTTAGAAGTTCGTTGGTTACGGACTGCACCTCTGAGCAGACAGGATTGTGGGATGAGGGTGGAGTCATGGCCCAGGTTTCCTCTTTGGGGCTGATCACTAATTCTCTTACAATTACTCTCTTTTGCCAGCTGGGAGGAGGGAAAAAGTCTTGAAGGTGGTCTGGGGTTGGGGACCTTAAGAAGAATTAGAGGCAAAGAAAAGAGTCTTATTGGGTTAGATCTCTCTTGATAAGGGACAGGAGTTCATTTAAATAATGTTCTGTGATCTTAAGCAACTGGCCTAGCCTTTTTGGCCATATGTTTCCTTGGCTTCTGAACTGTAGGATATAGAGTGATGCTGGAATGAGGCATCAAGTTATCAATTCTCAGTTAAATTAAAAAGATAAGAAAAATGTAATGTGCCCTTTCATACAGCTAAACTTATTTAAAGAACTGTCCTTTATTCTGAAATTGCCCTTGCTACTTTTTTGATGTTTAAAAATGGCCATTATTTTATGAAAGAATTGTTGTCAGATGGTCGTTTGTTTTTAGATATCTTTACTTAGCAAAATGAAAAGTTGACAACTTTCTGTTAGGTTTTCTAATTTATTTTGGGACATTTATTCTTTTGTGGAATCTAAGTTTAGGAACTACTGGATTAATACTACTATCTTGGTCTTGTACTCTTGAGTCTCTAAAGCAGAACAAAATTGTGACACAAAGAGGCAGATTTTCATTAAAATTGAGATCGCTGTTGTTTGATCAAGAGGGGACCTCAGAAGAAATCTCAGAAGGGGAGTAGCAGGGCCAGGGCTGGGCCAGTGCTGCCGAATATTTAAGTGCTTTCTGAGAAACAAAGTTGGTACTATAATAATGTTTGGGGCACAAGGAGTGGCAGTTTTAGTCAGTTATTGCCATGTAACCTAGCTTTTTATCTTTCCAGTATCATTGAGATTTTTCCCTGAGATCTAGAGGATCTCTTCTGCTGTGAAATGCTTGGAGATAAAAGGGCCATTTTCCTGTAGTCAACAGAAAAGTATAAGGAAGTCTAGAATCTTTACTGAAAGTTCCAGGGCAAAAACATCATTCTCCTAGCTCATCCTACTCCGTTTAATCTCCTGGAGGCAGTGTGGCCTGATAGTTTGGAAAATGGACTTTGGCATCAACTCTGTGCCTGGGGCTCCTGCTCTACCACTTAAAGCTGTAAGAACTGGGGAGATTGTTTAACCTTTCTATGCTTCAATTTCCTCATTTGTTAAAAGGAGATTAAAAGGGACCCTAACTCATTCAGTCCTTATGAGGAGTATATGGTATTAAAGTGCTTAGCCCAGTGCAGGCCCCCAGCTGATTTTGATATGGCTGCTTCACAGACTGGTATTTGGAAACCATTGACCTACTCCAGACTCCTCACCTTATAGATGAAACCTGGGCTCAAAGAGGGAAGATAAGTATCCTATAAGGTAAGAACCACAGAGTAGACGCCAGGAAATCCAAGTTATAGGCTACATTCTGTCCCCATGTAACCTTATCTCAATTCTCAAATCTAGGCTTTGATTTCTTCAAGATGATTTTTTGAGGCTTGATAACCCCTGATCTCCCTGTATCTGCGAAGTATTTCATTTTTTCTGAATGTGATGCTCCGTTAAATAGAAGCTATTGTGTTTTTCTCCCTCTTCCCTTCTTCTTATAAGCCTCTCCCTCCATCTCTGTGGTTCTTTTTTTTTGCCACTAGGCTCACTCCTGGCTTATTTTTTTATCTAACTTCTGCTCTGTACTCTCTGATTCTCAGTAATGCAAAGAATTACCAGTAACAAAGTTCAGATTTTCCTAAGAAATAACATAAAATTTTAATTTTACACTGAAGTCTCTATAGTTAGCACTTTGCTAAATTCCCAAGTCTCAGTCCTCATGGGACATTCTAAGTCTTCACCAGTCCTTGGTGCCGGATGCCTTTCACGAATCCCTGTTTCAGTTATTATTTGCAATTCTCCTCTCGCCTCATTTTATAGGACTCTTTGTGTTGCTCTCTAATAATTTTATGGCAGCAGTAGAGTGTGGTGGCTAAAAGTCCACTACAGACTTGGATTGAAATCTCAGTTCTATTACTTACTAACTGTGTGACTTTGGGCAGATAATGAATAAGCATTTTGAGCCTCAATTTGAGCTATGAAATGAGGATAAATAATGTGTGCTTGATAGCATTTTGCAGATTAAGTCGAATACTAAATGAGACAAGCCTCAAACAGTGGCTGACAGAGTAAGCACAATAAATATCTAGGTCAGTCTTCCCTCCCAGAGTTGACTTATGTGCTCCTAAGGCTAGGAATCATTGTAATGCTGGTGCCCTTTCATTTTATTGGTAAATACATTTTAATTGCTTGATCTCCAGTTCAGCCCATTTTCTCTGTGCTCACATTAAGTGGTGCAAAGTCTCCTGGGTCTAGATGTGGCAAGAAGAATTTAGGAAAGCTGTAAGTGTAGAAGGGACATCCAAATGGAGATCTCTGCTCCCTGCTGAAAAGCAGTCTTTTAATTTAATTGTCACTTGAGATTACTTCTTAGTCCGACTTTGAAAATGCCATCATCAAGTATCCTTGTAGATATAACCTTGGCACATAGTGGGCTCTCCATATATATTTTGAAATGAAGGAGTATTCTTGAATGCTCACTGTTGTCCTAAATGTTGGATATTTAAAGAAGTTTAAAACATAGTTCTTGACTCCAGAGAGCTGAAGTTCAAATAGAGAAATAGGATTTACATATAGAGATAGCTAACAGTAGGTTTTATATGCTTGGTCCAAAGTAACTTAAATAAACACAGGCATCCAGAGCTGGCAGAGATGCAAAGGAAGAAGTGGGACTTCACTGGACCTTGTAAGGAGGCTCTAAATTAGATAAACCAAGAAGAGGAGGGTAGATATTCCAGTAGGGAGAAATGGGTGAACAAAGGCAAGAATGTGCAAGGTATGTTTGGAAACAGAATGGCTGCAACTGAGTCATGCCAGGAGAGCCTAAAGATAAAGGGGAGAGCCTAAAGGTAAAGTTGGATGAGTGGATAGATTGTAAATTCCTTCAAGTCAGAGGTCTTATCTTACCTTTATCTCTTCCACCACTTCACATATAGTAAATAAGAACTAGAATTGAATTTCAGAGGGTTGTAGTGGACAAGTGGAAACAGAGGGCTGGGTTTGAGCCTGTGGTGTTTCCAGCCACTAAAGGATTTTGAATAGAGGGATGATATGAGCAAAGTGCTGATTTAGGAAGATTTGCTGAAATAGGCTGGTTGTTCTTCCTGTCACAGCCTCAGATATCAACTTTCAGGCATCAGATCTGTATCCTCAATTCTAACTGCTCTTTTGAACTCTAGACCTAAGGTTCCAACTGTCTACAAGAAGGTCCTGCCAACACCTCAGTACTTTTTGTCTGCTTTACCCAGCCTCCCCTCACCCAATCTGTGCCTCCTGTTTTCCTTATCTCAAGGCACCACTCCTCCCTGTTACTATGACTTCAGAATTATCTTGAGCTCTCCCTTTTCTTAACATCTTGTCAATAGTTAAGGGCTATTGTTTCTGCCATTGTTTGTCATGGAGATCTGCCTGCTCTTCCTATATTCTGACTGCCTCTGCCCTCTTCACGCCCTTTGATTTTTTCTTTGTCCCTGTGGGCCTCTAACTGCTTCTACCTTTCAGTGTGTCTCTGCTGCAGTCTGGCCTTTAGTCCAGTGCCAGATTAATCTTTCCAAAACACCCTCTGGTTCAGAAAATTTCAGTGCTATCCTTGTATCTGCTAAATTAAGTACGTGCTCCTCATTCCAGCTCTCTGGAGTGATGTGATCTCAGGTGACCTTGTTGGCTTCCTTTCTCATTGTGTTGCTGACTGTGTGTATATAGCCATACCATTCCTGCTAACACGTCCTGTGTCCTGACACATCTCCACTACTCATGCTTATTCTTCACGTTGGAATTCCTTAACATCTTTTTGGGCTGCCAAAATCATACTTGTCATCCAAGGTTTAGTTCAAATACCACACCTTTCATGAGCTCTTCTTCTATCCCCCTGTCAGAGTTAATCAACTCTGTTTATCAGCATGATTTTGTGAAGCCTATATCTGGTGTATTATTTGCTTGGTGTTATTGTTAATTATTAACACATTGGTGTCTTCTACTGCTAGACACCTGTAAACTTCATGAGGTCAAGGAGCAGGCCTGTCCAACTCTACGTGCCTAGTTCCCTGTTCTGTCAGCGCCAGTATTTCATTTTTAGATTTTTGGGTCATTGTTGCTTCTTGGGCTTTTTGAACCACTTGTAATTTTTCTGTGACCCTCAGGAAAACAAACAGAGGCTCTTCTCTCATTTGCTTTTTAACTGATTCCTAATACACTGGGACTGTGTTGTAGGCTGTGTTGGATCAGAACACAGAATTCCGTGCCTCAAATGCAGGCCTTCATTCTGACCTTAGGCTGGTTCTCAAATTGCTCTTAGAAGAGCAGGACAGATGGAGAAGCAAACAGTGATACCTTGTAATAAGCACAGGAAGGAGAGCACCTCAGCCAATGTGTGTAAGGGATGGAGAAAGTGATAGCTGAGCTGAATGCTGAAGAATGAGTGTTCATGGAAAGTGGGGAGCTATATTCCACACAGAGAGAACAGCAGATGCAAAGTACTGAAGTGTGAAAGCCCATACCTTCTTTGGGCAAAATTATCCATTCATCAAGGCTGGAAGTTAGAGTTTTTATGAAAGGGTGGCAAGGGAAAAGTGGTCACATCATAAGGGGTCTTAGATCCCAAGATAGAAAGCTTAAGTGTTATCCTGAATGGAGGCATCTGGCTTTGGAATCTGGTAGAGCTGGGTTCAGATTTGACTTCATCTTAACTTGTGATCTTGGGCAATTTACTTATCCTCTCTGGTCTTTATCTTTCCCGTAAAATGATACCTCTCAGGGTTGTTGAACATTGGAAACAATGTATGTGAGGTACTTAGCATATAAATAAATGCTCAGTAAATCTTAATTGTTATTATTAGGAGGGTAAGGAGTCACCACAGGATTTTCATGTGGACAGTAACAAGAGCACTCCTGTCAGGAAGATTGCTGGCAGTATCGAGGAGGATGGTGTCTTAGTTTGGGCTGCAACAGCAAAACCATAGACTGAGTGGCTTAAACAACAGACATTGATTTCTCTCAGCGATGGAGGTGGGGAAGTCCAAGATCAAGGAATCTACAGATTTGGTATCTCATGAGGGCCCTCTTCCTGTCATAGGCAGCTAGCTGTCTTCTCGCTGCACCCTCCTGTGGTGGAAAGAGAGCGAGAGAGCTTTCTGGGGTCCCTTTTGTAAGGACACTAATTTCATTTATGGGAGCTCTGCCCTCACGACCTAATCACCTCTCAAAGTCTTTGTCTCCTGATTCTAACACATCGTGGAGTAGGATTTCAACGTATGAATTTTAGGGAGGCATAAACAATCAGGTTATAACAGAGGGATTATAGCAGGGAAACCTGTTAGAAGCAGGGAGGTAGACAAGAAGAGTTCATCTTTGGGTGAGTTTGGAATGAGCATGGTATTTTTAGGGGTCTGTTGGATGTATGAGAGTGATATTTATGATAAAGGCCTGAGCTGAAGGTATGGATTTGGAAATTGTCAGTGTATAGGTTATAGTTGAAACCATGGAAGTAGATTAAATCATTCTGGGAGAATATAGAGAACAGCTATTATTAACTTTTTTGGGGAGAATCTATAGGGTTTTTGTTTTTTGGTTTTTTCATCCCACAATGTACATAACACCAAAAAATTTTGTGTGCAATTTTAGGTAGTTTATGAGACCCCTGCTCTCCAAACCCATTTACAGATTTTTTTTTTAATGGACTGTTTTTTATGGACCATTAGGTCCATCGATATTTTAAGAAGCTGTCCTATAGAATGAAAAGAAAAGAGGGCTAAGGATGAGTAAACACTGAAGTGGTGAGCGGAAGAGAAGGAACAATCGAAGAGGAAGAGGGGAAACCAGGTAGAATGGAGTCTCAGATTCAAGAGGGAGAGTGGATTTAAAAGGTAAACGAATGGTCAGCAGTGTCTCCTGGGTTGGCAATTAGGTGATTGTAGGCAGAGCAGATTCAGTGCGTTTCTGGGGCCGGGAGCCAGGTCACATGGGGGAGGTGAGGAAATGGAGACAGTGAGCACTGTCATCACACTTGTTCAGGAAGCCAAGGGGAAGGGAGAGGGAGTAGTTAAAGCCAAACCAGCTAGGGGATAATTGTTGGATTAAGGCTGTCAAGGAGATGGGAAGAGGTAGAATCCAAATTTTTAAGTGGAAGGACTTGCCTAGGTTACAGGGAGGGACGTCTCTGCTGGTAAAACTAAAATTAAAAAAATTAAGGTAGGTATTGGTAATACAGTGGCCTGTAGTAGTCTTAAAGTTGGAAACAAGTATCACCTCCTTGTAATTAAGTAACACGTGATTAATTGATGCCTTAATGTTTTCAATGTAAGAATTTCCCAGTGGGCTGTTGGGTTCTTTGTTGTCATTTCATAGCCTTGGGTGGGGCTGAAGCATCTAAAAAAAATCACCTTTTCTATGTTGACTGTCTTCTCACATAAAGGTGTCTTAAAATTCTACCTCCAATGTTAGGTGGAAAGATCTTTGCTGGGTCTGGAATTAAATGAGGTATTTATGTGTAGGGAATCAAACCTAAAACTTACTAAAAACTTTCCAAGTCTGAGCTGTTTGGAGTGTTCTGAAGGTCTGTGTTATAAAGTTGCTCTTTGGCTTCCCTAATGAATTTCCTTGCTAAAATATTAAGATCTTTAACTCCAGGCACTGCAGTATCCTCTTATCCTGATGCTTGGGTCAGGAGAGAATGTTCCTGTAATTGATCGGTCTGCAACATGGGATCCTGGAAAAGGATCCCCCAGCTTTGGGGCAAAGTTGTTCTACAAAAGCCTTTCTGAGGAGCTTATGGCTCAGCTTTAAGCAGGCTAGCTGGTCTTGGGAAGGACTTGTAATCATGTTGCTTTTAGTAATTATATTCAGAATAGGTACTTAGACCTCTTCTTTCTAAACAGGAAGTCAGTTTTTTTTGCTGTTGGAAGCGTGACTGAGGTGAGACCATCAGTTTTCCCTACTGCATTATCTCTATGGCAGGGCTTCGTAGGTGAACACAATAACTTCAGGTAGTAAAATAAAAAATAACCAGTATATAGATCACATCTCAGGTCTGAAAGAAACAAGGCAGTGGACTGGACTCTTACAGGTGACTTGGTTCTGATTTCATCTTACGTGTTTAGCCGGTCTTCTAATCATATATTGGCAATCAAGAAAGTTTATTACCTGTAAGTGTCCAATCCAATACGTAAAACCCCCAACACCCAAGGAAGCATCACTTTTTTGCTGAGACATGCAAGCATGATGAAAAAACAATATTAAAGGCCACTAAAAGTTCTGCCCACCACATTTCACCAATGCCAGGTCCCCTCTGTTTTGCTCTATTTATTACCCACGTAACAGAGAATAGTCTGTTTCCAATTTTACAAAGTTCGCACTCTGATGGCACAAGTTTTCTTTATTTTTCATTTTAGAATTTTTTATTATAAAAGTAATATGTTTCTGCTGTAACAGGTTAAATGTGTAAATATTATTACATAGATGGAAAAGAAAAAGTTAATAATTTCCTTTTAAATTAGACAATATTTTAAAGAGGTGAAAATTCAGGCGAATTCTTTTTAGTCCACTACGTCATTTCTTTTAGACCCAAAGTTGTGATTAGTCTTTCTTATTTAGTACCCATAGTTATTATGTTCGCCTACCAAGCCCTCCCATGGGGATAATGCTCTGGGGAAAACTGATGGTCTCATTATCAGTCATGCTTCCAATAGCTAAAAAGCTGACTTGCAGTTCAGGTACAGGGAAAGACTTATTTTAGGTCTTATGTAGAACTTTAGATGTTAGAAGCTATGGGAGATGTAAATAAATAAATAAATAAATAAATAAATAAATAAATAAATAAATAAATAAAGCATCATCTCCTTCCTTAAGGAGTTAATGATCTCATTGATGAGTAAGAATAATCATATTAAAAATTAGAAACTCTGTACAATTATATAAGTGCTGATTGAGTGATTAGCTCTCCATAATGGAGAGCAGAGAGACTGGTGAGAACTGAAATTGTCAGGAAAGGGTGCCAGAGTAATTTTTTCCAAACACAAATCTGATCATGTCATTCTTCTGTTTAAAATCTTTCAGTGCTTCCCTTTACCTTCCCCTTACCCATTTCTTGGTGAGAAAGTTTGGACTCCTTAGCTTATCATGAAAGGTCATGATTTGACCCTTGCCATCCTCTCCAGTTTTAAGTCTCATTACTACCTAATATACATCCTGTCTTTCAACCATCCTTAATCCCGTGCAGTTGTCTAAGCATGAGCTCCTTCTTATCTCTGTGAATTAGCACTGGGTGGAACTTCATGTGGTAGCTTTGTCCCTTCCCTTCCCTTTCTGGCTAACTTCTACTCATCTTTTAAGGTTTAGTTAGATTCACCCATCTGAAAACTTTCACCAACCTCCCATATTTCTCTCTCCTACTCAAACAGGCTTAGCCATTTCTCTTATGTTCTTGGGCACTCTGCTTACCTCTATTACAGCACTTGTCAGACTACATTGAAGTTATTTCTCTTTTCTGCTAGACTGCCATCTCTTTTAAAGGTAGGGACTGTGGCTTTGTGTAACAAGGGCTTTTCCAAGCAGCTAGCTCCTTAGTAAGGATTTATTCAAAGAGTAAATGAATGAGTGAGCTGGATTTTAAAGAATAAATAGCATTTGGAGAGGTGGAGAGGAAGAAAATAGCTTGCCATAAAGAGAAAATAAGTATCAGCGATTTAGATGAGATTATAGCTGTAGGCTGATTCTGATTCAGTCTGCAGATTGTACAAACTTGGAGAGGAAGAAGTCAGATAACTGAATCAGCATCTAAAAAGATTAAAAGATCAAAATATGTTCAAATGACAGTGGTCAAATTTAATAAAAGTCCTTGTTTCAAATACTTGCAGGACTCTATGAAGTGAAAATTAGATTTGACTTAAAAAAATTCTAACAGTTCCAAATGAGAGACAATAGAATTTATAAGGAAGCAGATTATGACACTTTATGGAACCATTAAATTAGTATGTGTTGCTTTATGAGGTAGTGAATAGTAAATTCTCTATCATTTTAAGTTTTAAGCATCAAGAATATTGTAGATGTGTGGAAGATTTGGACAGATCTTTCAACCCTCAACTTATGATTCTTTGTTGTTAAGGGGGATTTGTATATCAACAAGGAATCAGACTAAATCCACTCTAATCCTATATTCTGTGGTCTATAGTAGAAAGCAATCATTGCTCCTTGCAAACAAAGCAGGAAAGGAAGAGGCGAAGGTAAGATTGGAGACAGAGAAGAGGGAGCATTTACTGGATGGCGGTAAACTCAGAAAAGTAAGAAGGTAGCGCATTCGCCTGGAAGTGTAGAGGGAAGCGTTGGCGTTGTTTGGAACAGTACGTATGTGGCTTTTACTAGGGAATCGGTAAGCAGGGCATAACTGGGCAGTAGGGAGAGAAGACCTAACTGAAGTTTGTGTGAATTACTAGTGAACAAAATTTACATAATTCTGCTACTTTCTTTTGAAATTTTTCTGAGTTGGAGAAGGAATGGAAGTGGTGGTCAGTCAGGTTTGGAGATTGTCATGGTGAACACAGTAGTAGAAGGTTGGGCAGGTGAGGGTCCCTGGGATATTTGTCACAGCGGCTTTGAGCTGCTTAACCATGTTATCTAGCATAGACTGGGATAATCTCAGGTATTCTTAATAAATAGATAAAATAAGGATGGAGTCATTGAAGATTGAGAATGACAAGGAGGAATGAAAGATTGATAAAGGTGACTGCTAAATAGGTATATTTGGAGAAGGAGTGAGGCCCAGGAAGTGGCATGGTGTTGGCTGGGTATGAATTGGAGATGAAGGTCAGTGGAGCCAGGCTGTTGAGATGCATTGTCAGCTCACATGTTTAAGTAATTTGAGGATGATGCCAGAGGACACCCATGGAGATAGTAAATGTGAATCAAGTTGTTGGGGGAGGTTAAGGTGGACTTGCCGTGTGGAGCGGAGCAGGCAGCAGGGAATGGTTGGTGACAGCAAGGATGATTTGAACCAGATGGTATAGGGGAGGGCATGGGCTTCAGATAAATAGAAAAGGAGCAGGCCAATGGATCCATGGTCTGGAGGTGGTAGCTGTGGGAGAAAGTGAGTCCACTGCAGGATGGGGCGTCTGTGGCACAGTCCTTGTCAAGAGTTGACGGTTGTGTTTCTGTTAGAGAAGTAAACAAAATTGAGAGTGAAGGACAGTTTGCCCACAAAGAAGTGGGGCTCTGTGAGACTCGGGAGAAGGAAGGGAGGGAGGGAGGAGGTGTACAGAGAGGCAAATTGGGCAGCTTTGTGAGTTTGGCTGGTGAGGCTGGGGAGGGGGCTGGGGAGGGAGCTGAGGAGGAGGGGACGGAGAGAGCACTGATCAAGAGGACTGGTGTGTGGAGGGCGAGATTTAACCATGCACCCTGAGTGTCCTGAGTGCTGAAGCCACTCCACGCCTTCTGTTGGTGATTTTCATTATCACAGCTCTGGCTTTTGTGACCTTTCTTGTGGGGTAGGGGGAGTGTATGGGGAGGAATCTCTGTGGTCCCCAGAGAACTATAGTGGAAGGAGACTTTGCCATGAAATGGTTCTTGAGGCCCGTGATTCTGTCTGATGCATAAAGTGACAACATGGTCAGCACAGAAGAGGAAGTTCAGGCAGGCTGAACCTTCCCAACAGGACACCGTCTTACAGGTCTGAGGAAACTGTCTCCAGCATCCTGTCTTGGAGAAGCAGAGTGTGGGCAAGGCAACTTGTCCAGATAGTGCTAAACCAGTGCCTTCTCCTTGTTTCCTCACAGATGAACGGGACCGCGTGCAGAAGAAGACGTTCACCAAGTGGGTCAACAAGCACCTGATGAAGGTAGGACCCTTCGTGGATGCACCCTGGCACCTCTGGCGGCTCCTGATCTGGATCTCTCAGTCCGTCTCTCTCGCAGTCTGGATTGCCGGCCATGTGCTCCAGCTGATGGAGACACACACACCTTTTATTCTTTTTTTTTTTAATAACTAACATAGTCCTAATAGTGTGGAAGCTTTCACTGATGGATTTCTTGGTGAGGACAGTAACACCTCAGGAGGGTGAGATCAAGGATACTGTGGGGTGATTCCTGGGATTACTTTTATATTTGTTTTATAA